AATAACCGTCGTCCGGGAACATTGTAGGGCACTCTGCAAAACACAGTGGTCGCCAACGCCGTCGTTCGTTTCTGGTGAGTGCAATAATGTTTTCCGTGTTTTTTTCAACGAAATTGTTTACATCAGACACACAGCGATCTGTTGACTCGGTGGCTTCATACGGGGGCTTGCCAGACCTTTCTGTGCCATGACACGGCTAAATAAATAGTTATTTTACCAAATATTTTACCATGTACCTTGCCTTTTTGCTGTTTGTGGACGATACGTTGTTTTTGTTTATTGATAAAGTACCGAAAAGTGATACAACTCATTTTTCTTCTCGTTGGATTTTTGTTTGCAATTGAAAAGCACACTTAAAATTTGACCGTTTTCATGTTTATTTTTAGAAACTGTCTACTACTATGCCTTTCAAATTGCGTCTAAAGAAGAGTCGACAGTATAATGTCGTCTCAAAATCTCTGTATGTGATTTGTGTCGAGCTGCTGGACAGCACATCAATAGAATGTACCTTATCGGCTGAGAGCGTTGGTCAAGAATGCCTAGACAGTGTATGCCAAAGACTCGGATTACACCAGGTTATTGTTTATTTAGTATTATTATTTAATTTTGTGATTTTAATGTTTTTTAAATTTATTTAAAGCCGGAGATCCTGGGACTGCGCTACATATCTCGGTCTAGAAATCCACGATGGGTTGATTTAAGTAGACCATTAAAAAGGCAGTTGGACAAATATGCATGCCATTTTAGTTTGTATTTGAGAGTCATGTACTATATTACAAATGTATCATTTATAAAGGACGAAATGACTAGGTTAGTATTTAATTTTCATATTTTTTATACAATATTGCAAATAATGTGATGAATAGTATCTATAATTGAATAATATGAAAATCCTCCTTGTAAGATTATTATTGATAATTAATAATTATGTATGATTTTTGTATTTTATAACCAGATAACTTTTAATTTCCAATACACAGTATAACATTTTTTGATATTTGTATTTTGTATGCGATTCTCAGTGTGTATTATCAAATATTTATTATATATATAATTGTATAGGTACTAGGTACTGTGTTTACCCTTTAGTGAGTATTGACATATAATGTAAGTTTTAATTTTAATTTTATATAGTTTCAATTAATAAACCATTTAGGAGGTATTTATATATCATTGCTAAAAACATGGTGATTTAAGTGAGATGTAAACAAGGATGTAAATATTGTATGTAATTTATCTATGATTTTGCACCAAAATAATAAGTTATTTTTATTTTTTATTTTCATTCCATATCGGCTTTCTGAATTCTGAGTATTGCTAAAAATTTTCATTTGCTACTCAAAAAGTTAATTTTAATAAATCACAATAATATGTATTCATTTTTCCCTACTCACAGTTACAATGTATATCAATTATTAAAGATCTTGGTATTTATTACTCATCTACTCTCTCTTTTAACCATCACATTGATGTAACAATGATTGTGCTCTAAAGGTTCTAGGTTTTATTAAACGTAATACAAGGCTTTTCTCCTCAGTAAACCGTCTCTGTTTGTTGTTTTGAGCTCTTGTTCTACCCATACTCAAGTATGGGGTTATAGTTTGGTACCGTMACCTTCCTCAGGATCAGTTATGTTTTGAGTGTGTTTAACATAAATTTTTATTGCATGCTGCTTTTTTTTCTTAAATTACCTTCACTGAATCATATCTATTCCGATATTAGCCGTGTTCTAAATATACTTTCTTTGTCTTCAGGCTGTAATTATATTGATTCTCAGTTTACTTATGCACTTTTCAACAATTATATAGATGCACCTCACCTTTTATCTCAAGTTTCCTCTCACAATATTGGTAAACGCATCCCTTTTTCCTTCTGCCATAACTGTCTGCCAATTCTGTTGGATCATTGCTTCATTTTGATATTACTTTACCTAGTTATAAATTATAATTGTTATTATATTATATTATATTTATATTTATCTGACTCTTTTTGTAAAATCCGGTTGGYGTTTAAACATAATTAAAATGATAAAATAAATAAAATTTATTTAATTATTATTGTTAAGGATAAATTAAATTTGTTGGTTTATGATAAGAATACAAAATAATTTATAATTTAAATCAAAAACTACAATTCACTTAAATTTTAATTTAATATTAATAAAGCATTTTATAGTTATGTATAGTTTAGTTAAATTAAAATTTTTTGCATATATCAATTACATAAGCATAGATTTGTTGTTTGTTTTGTATACAGGGTGTCCCTCGAGGATTTACTCATTGTAATATATCTTGAAATAATGAAAATATCTAAAATCTGGTTTTGGTATAAGACTGTTAGGGATGAGAACTAAAATATTATTTTAATTAATTTTAATGTTTTGGTAAAAAAGTTAAAAAATATTTATTCTACATTCTGAAAATAATGACGTTAAACATTTTATTTTCATTTCCTGATTTTTAATTTCAAGAAAAATTGCGAATTATTTAACACCGAAGTGTTATCCAACATGTGACTCAACGTGCTGCGCGTGTTTTCGTGCAACTGGCCGAACACTTTCAGTGTGCCTAGTTATAATCATATTATATTTCTTCAAAACTAGAAAAAATGCCCAAAAAAATGTTATAATTCAGAAAATTTTGAAAATTAAATTTGAAACGTCAATATTTTCAAAAAACTAAACTCTAAAAAATAGCTTACTTTAATTTGTTTGGAAATAATTAAATAAAAACATATATATTTTAAATTTTTTACCAAACCATTAGAATAAATTTAAAAATGAAATAATTGTAGTTCTTATCCCTGTGAGTCTTATTACAAAACTAGAATTTTAATATCTCCATTATTTCGTGAGATATTGCAATGGTTAAATCCTCACAGGACACTCTGTATGTTACTAGTATGTTACTAGTCGCGCTAGTGCAATTACATGGGTGTAAATTAATATTAAAACAGGCATTAAATATAATTTTATTTCTAAATTTGATTGGCCTTCTACTTTATCTGCTCTCAGTCTTGAATTAGTTTTTAATACCTTGTACAATGATTTTCACCAGTCTGTACTACGTTTTCTCCCAATACGCCACTTTAAGCAGACTATCTTCCCTGTCTGGTTCACGAGCGAGTTTAAACAAATTTTATTCATGAAGAAAAAGGCTTATACTAAATTTAAATCCACTTTTAACTCTGACCATTACAGACATTTTTCACTTCTCAGGACCCAATATAAGTACTTATTGAAAAATATTGTATTATGAATTTATTGTTTGAACTGAGCTATCAATTAATGCCAATCCTTCCAATTTTATGGAAATTTATAAAGAAACATCGCTATCATTCTGATATTCYTAAAACAYTAACGTTTAAGAGGACGTCGCACCCGCATATGTTTTCTCCGTCTTACACGTGTACGATATAGCAAATCAGATTGTTATAAGTTATATTTGAKWTATGAGCTTTTTCATATTTATTCTTTTATGTAGCAGAAATAAACTACAATATACTTCAAACATAATTTGGTTAAAGTTGTATGTATTTATATACAGCTATCATATTTAGGTACTTGTAAGTTGTTGTTCAATACACTTGAAATAATGGGATTATGTATAATGTAATTTATCAAATATGCACTTTTAAAATAGGTATTCAATTTTTCCCATCGTAAAGATAATTTATACCCTGAGCTCTAATAAATCAATACTCAAATCGAAATAAATATTCAAGTATGCATTTATAGTTCTGAAATTGCATTTTATTATTCCGTTTAATCAACATTTATTATGGATGGAGTTATAACTTTTATTTTATTTGTATAGGATAAATAGTTGACCAATATTATTTATAATCAAACCTATTAATTTATTTTCATTGTAATTTAGTATTTGAATTTGAATGAAAATTGGAAAGTAAATAATCAATATTTAATTTGTATATGTTATGGCTAATGTACATTTACCTGGTAATTTGGTCCTGGCGGTCCTGCTCACCTACTTGAACCGCGAATACAAACAAATTATTCTTTGCGCAATATTTTTTACTAAATTTCTTTTTTCTTATAATACTATATACCTACCTAATATTGACACAAAAAAAATAATATTTTATCAAGTAATATTCTTATTATTATCTATTTATTAAATCCTGAAAATTTARAATGATATTATAAATAAGTAATAATATAATTATAACTTATATAAAACTATTTTTTTTTCATTAATATTATATAATTATCAGTAATAAATAATAATTGATCCAAAAAAAAAATACTGTACAACAATTATTTTGTTTATAGCCTTGGTTCAAAATTCTCCAAGAAATACACTCGGTATATAATGAATTGGGCATAAAGAATTAGAATGTGTTATACATTTATAATTAAATAATAATAATAGTAATAATAATCTAGGTTGAATATGTTAGATATTAAGAAATTGTAAATTTCCACTTTAAAATATACTTATAAAACTATAAAGCATCTATTATTATATTACAAATTTAACCAAATTTGTATAATTAATACACTTAGCAATTTTTGTTGGAAAGCTTAAATTAATTTTTCTCTYTTCATAACCTGKAACAGTCATATATTAGTCTCGGTCTTTAGCATGACTGTTAATAATTCATGGTGTCATTTAAATGTGTTAATGAACTAATATGGTACTGAATGGTTTTAAGATTTTAAAATTGTTTAATTATCATGCCTTATGTTTTAATCATTATTAACAAACTGGTACATACATTTTTAAGTTGATTTATAGTAATCAGTTAATTCTCTACATGATTAAATTTGTTTATATTAATGTTAAACTGATATTTATTAAAATTTGATATCAGTTATTTTAAGTTAATTTTGTAATTATGAAATAATAATAAAACTATAATCTAAAATTGATGTATYMATAGACAGGAGWAAATGTTCCACTCTCCCCAGTAGTGTATACTTGAGGGTCAGATCCCCTCTAAAGTTTTAACTTTGTGGAATATTGGAGTGGATAATCTTTTATATTGTGTTTGATGACATGGTTTTTAACCTTATACATGAAACTAACAGGGATGGTAGCCAGGAACATGTGTAGTCTAATGTACAAGTTTCAAAACGATCGCACAATTGTTACATTTCAAATAATTTTTTAAATGTAAAATTTGCCATAAATGCCTGGTGATTCCTCATACTCAATTAAACTCCAGCCATCCACTCAGTGACTACAGGGCCTTTGTTTCTTATTCATGAAACTACTATAGCTTCTACTGCTTATAGATCACAACATTTGTAATCAACATTGAAAATTTCAAGCCAATTGCATGGTTATACGATTTTTAATGAATTTTTATATAAACAGGAACCATCAAAATTTGCAATACTGGAGTAAGGTACACACCGTTGACCAAATCTTCATACTTAATAATTTACACTTTGTGAACATATTTACTCTTGAATATCTCGCTAAAAGCTGGTCTTACGGATCAGGGATTTCCTAATTTTCCCTTCCCATTTAGTTATATAGTTTTTTTATCCCCCTTTTCAGAAATCATGTCTATACCACTGACTCTCCCTATTAAATACTTTAACGAAATATGAATGATTATTTCAATAGAAGCATATTATGTCATTAGTTTATAGTTGTATACTAGTTTAATTGCAATAGCCTAATTATTGTTTTGATTATATTTTACTCGTGTAGTATGAAAAAGTGGAATAATAATTTACTGTTAGTGATCATTTTATGTATTTACCTATTTTATTATTTTTATTTTTATGTGTGGCTGAAAATTAAAATGTATTTAAATATAATATATATATATTTTATTTTCATATGTTGGCATATGTTTGAAATTTATTGAGAAATTAATTTTTATAAATGCAGTATATATATATTGCTTTTATTATTGTAAATCATTTTACCAATTCTATTTATTATATGAAGTATAATATACATGCTTACATTTTTAATTATTTCATGGCTATAATGTTTAGGTATCATTTTTTTCTTCAATTGAAAATGGATGTTATTGAAGGTCGTATTCTTTGTGATGCTGATCAAGCAGTATTACTTGCTAGTTATAGCATGCAAGGTAGTAAAAATATACAAAACCTACATTAATCTCACACAATTAAGAATTTATTGTACACAATCAAATTTTTAATTTTTTTTTTATATATATTTAGCCGAGTTTGGGGACCATGATTTAGAAAAACATACATCTGAATATCTTAAAGATTTTCAACTTTTCCCTAAGGTATGCGTTTAGTTAAGAACTTTATATTTCATATTTGCTTAATGAATTGATTTCCTAAAAAAACAGTTAAAATTAAAAATGTTATGTTTTGTGGAATTTATTACTTAGATAAAACTAATTATATTTTGTTTTTAATGTGTAGCATCTAATTGCAATACAAGGGCGTCTGGAAAGTCTCACAGAAGCTGTTATCTGTCAACATTCGGCTTTAGCAGGCTTACCTCAAGGGACTGCAGAAGAGTATTATATTATTGCAGCTCAACAACTAGAAGGATATGGACAGGAAAAATTTCTAGCTAAAGTATTCATTATTCATAATATTTGAATTTACTATTGTTTTTTTTTTGGTTAATGCTTTAATATAAAATATTTAATGGTAATTCAGGATGATAGTTCTACTGAAGTGACACTTGCAGTTAGTCTTAGAGGTGTAACAATTCAAAACCAAAATAGAAATACAACATTCTATCAGTAAGCTTTCATCATTATTTTTTGTACATATTTAATATTATAATAAATACGTAATTACTATTATTTTTATTAGATGGGAAGATATAGCAAATGTAATAAATCATAAACGGTATTTTAGCATAGAAGGACAGCATGAGAATTTTATACAATTTCAGTTTAATGATGTCGAAACTGCTAAATATGTATGGAACATGTGTGTTTTGCAGGTAAACTATTATTTTTAAGTAAAACTATCATTGTTCATTCATTTGTGTGATGTTGTTTTTTTACTAATTGTTGTTATTATATGTTTATAATTTAGCACATGTTTTATGGGCTGCATGAAAAAATTGATCAAACCGGTGACAACAAGGCTGATATAATGAGAAAAAATTTAGAATCTCATATTGACGTAAGCAGTCAAAAATATTAKATATATCAAGAGAAATTGATATAATAACAATGATATAAATATTTTTACTCTAGAATAATATAGAGAGCAGTCGAGAAGAGTTAGACACCATTGATGCTAAAGAATCTGTCATGATGAGAGGTTCATTCCCTTTTAATGGAGTTCGTGCTCAATCGACATCTTGTTTAGATTTGTCCTCTTCACAAGGAAGTGAAAAAGCACGATTGGAAAAAAATGGACACAAATCTATGTAAATACAGACAAATTATAATAATGATTTTGTTAATAAATTTATAGTTTTAGAGTAATAAAGTTTATGTTTACATTTTTTTCCCAGTTCTAAATTGCCATCATATAGATTGGCCCCAGATTATGAAACTGCTGTTCAACGTAAATATTCACATGGAGACTATTACAATCAGACTCCAAATTTAATTCCTACAACTTCTATAAGTCATCAAGATATAAATTTCCATCAGGTAAAATTGAATGACAAAATGTATACGCTTATTAAATTAAATTTACCCATATTTTTTTACGTTAGAAATACCTAAGAGCTACTAACATTATTTGTGAATACATATTTAAACTTGCATTAATTCCTTAAACTATTTATTAAACTTTTTATAATTCAATTTTATAATGCCTTCTATTTCTAATTATTATTTAATTTTTTTTTCGTGACTTAATACAAATTTTGTATGTGTTAAAATGTGTTTTGATTGTTAATTGGATAATAATTTTTTTTTTTTTTTTGAAGTTTCATGATCAGTATTATTAATTGTTATGTATGTAGTGGAAATAAATAAATATTTTTTTACTCTCACTAATTCAACATAAATATGTTAATAAATAATAAAATAATAAAAGGTTCAATTAGTGTGATTAAAAAATGTTATTCATTTTTGATATATGAAGAATGGTTAACCTGTAGGTCAAAGCATTTTTTATTTGTTAAATTGAAATATATTGAAGACATGTTCCAATAATTATAGTTTTTACCATCTTAAATTATTTATTAACAAGATCTCTAAAGTTACTATACATAAACATAAATTATAATACTTATATATTTTGTTATTTTAAGGTTATTGCTATTTTTCATTATTTTAAATAATTTAGCTAACTATTTTAATCAGATAAAAAATTTGGATTACAGTTATCATTATATCATAAGAAATTCAATAGTATAATCATAAATAAGCCCATTGGAATCCATAGAATTAATTTAGATAAATGTGCTTAATTTTTTTGATTAAATATAATATTTTAATTAATTTCTTGCCCTAAAGTAGTA